TTCAGATGAACGGCACTGAAAGTGTCAATTCTGTTGCTCTGTGTTCTGCTGATCTGGGAAATCCAGTCTCCGTAGAGCTGAACATGTTTTTTTTTTTTTTCCTCATTTGCTGCTCCTTGCTTTTGTTAGTGTAGCAGCTGGGGTCTCTTTTAGGTCAAGGTCAGTTAAAACAGGTGCATTTCTTTAGTCTAACACTTCTGGATGTTTTGGATACGACACTAATTTGTACGGTTTCTGGTGCTTTGCATAGTTGTATAAATTGTAAGGCGTTTTTTTTCATTAGAATTTCTAAATAATTTATCTGAGTGTCCATAACCAAAAAATTGTATTAGCACAAACTTCTAAGTGCTAGCTGAGTTGTACCGATTTGCCAGTTAATACATCTGGGTTTTGTCTATTATTGTGATCTTGCACAAGGCTTTGTTCCAAATGTGATTCAGGCCCCTGCTTGGCTCATTGTTGAATTTCTTGGCCTTTAAAGGGAAATACATTCACCTATGTAAATTTATCCCTTTCTTTTATTCAAGTGACCTGTACGTGAAGTGTCTGTTTACATTTTTACATAGCTCTCTAGATGTAGTTAAATTAGCTTTTTAATATAGGGAGTAATTCACTTTCTGATTTTCAAGGTGTCACTGTGTTTTACTGTGCAAGCTGTGACTTTCATCGTTAGATTTGTGTGACTGGATAATCTTGGCAAATAAAACATTGTTTTATATAACACTAATGTATAATTCAATGTTAATATCCTGATTTTTTTCATGAAAGTGAGAGCTTTAGACATTTCCAGCCCATGTGGACATCCATGTACCAGGTTGAGCCCATCTGCTTCTTTTATTTTTCTATAGGAAGACTTCTTGAAGTATCGTTTTCCGCTGACCTGACTCCTTAGTTCACGTTGCTATGCTTATTTACAGTGAAAAGTTAAAAATATACCTGAATATTTCATAGCATCTATTATCTTAAATTGATATGAGTTGATATGAATTGACGTTCCCTAGTACTTGCTGGAATTCGTGTTTGGGAATTTGCAGTGACAGCAAGGATTCGGCACTGGTAAAAGAAGTATTAACAAAGCGGGGATGACAGTAACTGTAGTTTTCTTTCCCCTGCTGCCTTAGTTCCACTGTTTCACAGAGCCCAAGGGAAAGTTAGATCGCATAATCTAATTTTTTTAGTACAACAGATCATTACGTTGCATCCAGGTATTTTTCGTCACATAAAGTCATCTGAATGCAGACCAAAGAATTTCCTTCTTCCCGGAAACAAAGCGACCACCTGAGCCTGCTGCTGCACCTTGGGCTGTGTTATCCCAGGTCGGAAGCCTGGTGAGGAATGTAAGGAGAAGACGTAGGTGGGCGAAGTCCTGCTATGCAGCAGAAAGATCTCCACCCTCCTCCCCTTCAGATATTCTTGCTCTTTTTCAGTTTGAAAGAGAAGTCTTTTCCAACCCCACATTTAATCCTTATTGTCCTAATGACAGCTAGTCATTTAGGAGCGACTGTTCTCTAACCCCGCTGCTGTGTTTTCGACCAGACTTGGCCAATTGCTGACATTTCAAAGGAAGACAACCCTTCTCTGCGGAGCTTCTCTAGCTGTTCGTGCTTCGGAAAGAACATTCCTTCGTAATCCCTCCAGGATTAGGTTCATTCTAGTCATACGGAGCCGTAAGGCATGGAAGGGGGGTGTAGGCAGCAGCGTGTGAGGAAATGCTGTGGGTGGCTGGCGATGCCTCTGGATGGTAAATCATGTATGTTGAAACCATTGAAATAACTTTCCTGAGTGTGACTTTTCCTTCGGGCTCGCAGCAGTCTTCCCTAGCAGCAGTCTCTTTTAAAGACAGGCGCCTGGTCACACTCTGGATGTGTAATAAAATAATGTTTCTTTTAAATGGCAGCTTTTTGTCCTGATGATGAGCCTAAATTATTTTTTTTTAATTGGTTTTCTTTTTTTTTTTTTTTTTGAGACTAAGTCAGGATTTTCCTGCAACGTGAGGATTGTGGCAAGTATCATACTTAAATGAAAAACGGTCTTAGCTGGATTATATACACCAAAAATTGTTACATTTCTTTGTATTTATTCTCACCCTCTTTTTAAACTGTCAAAGACTTTAAATGCTTTTGAATGATTTTTAGTGGGGCAAAGGGAATAAATGTACCACATGAATTAACGTTTGCAGGATAGAGATGCTATTTAGGAGTTACTGTCCAGAAACAAAACCTAAGGTACTTTTTTGGGCGTGCGATGGTGGTGTTTCTTCCACTTAATTAATGGTTAATTTGAGAAAAACATATAATAGCAGATATTAATACATCCTAGTTTAAAGGAACCCTAACTAATGTTCCTGCTTTCTTGCAGACCCACTAACTCATTTCTTAAAAACATTTCAGTAACAGAGAACATTTTATTAGCTTATGAAAGGAAATGTTTCCTTATATGAATGAACTTGAAATTCCATCTTGCATGACATTAAGGTCAAGAATATCCCAGCTTTGCACATAAAATCAAGATACACATATGAAAGTTTTCAGGTTTCCCAAGTTAAGAAATTATGATGCATTTATTAGATTTTTTTTTTTTTTTTTTCCTGCTCAAAAGAATTTTCTCCTGGGAAATTTGTCTTCTTCGGTCTCACATTTCATCATGTTTTGTAATATCTTTACGATTGTCATAAAAGGATTCCTGTAGAAACTGTCCCGAGGTTAAAAACAGCTTTGTGTTTGTCTAATCGAGGGAAATGCAGTCACAAAGTGGGAGAGAACACCAGCTTCGAGGAATGCAGCCAGCTGATCCTGCCGGTCTTGCAGTACTTACCAATTTCTTCATTCACCAAAACATAGATCAAACACAAATTTAAGTATTGTATAAATTGAACTACGTCCTGTCTTGCCAACTTTTTTGTAAAACCCCATTGAAAATACAGAACAAAATCTAAAACTATTCTAAAATGTTTCTAATTTATGGCGCTGCTACTGTACAATACATTTTCTTCATGCCGGAGCTTGCAGTCGTTCCAAGTCCAGGATTTCTGTTGGTTTTGCGAGTAAATTTGATTTGCATGGTATTTTGTAATTCTACACTAGGGCCGGTTGAATGCTTTTGTTTTTCTTTTCTAGTGTAAACCTTTTAATGTAGAAGGTTTTTAGGGGATATCTTAGGCTTCCAGCTTGTCACAATTATTGTTACGCAATTAGTTTAAGTGGAATTTGTTTTGTATGGAGGAAGAAAACCTCGTGGTAAAATATACAGCTCCATCTCCAGGTTTTGTGTAAACTGAGTCTCTTGTAACATTTAGCTCCGGTAATATGTTTTCAAATAAGATTAGCTGAGAATTGGAAAGTAACTGCCTTTGCCTAAAGTTTTCCCAGATTTACGTTTCAAAGACATCTGCGTGTTTTCTTTTACCTTTTCAATATCAATCATACATTTCAGTTATTCCTAGTAGTTATTTCTGCAGTTATTTATACTTTTTACTTACATTAAAAGAAAAGTAAGTTCTTGTAGAAGGACGCTGTGATTTTTTGGCTGTTTGCTAACCTGACTGGGATATTGGACTTTGGAACAGGAGAGCCTAAAAGAAATTGCTTTGTAATATTGGATGAGATATCTGGAATGCTTTACAAAGTAGATTCATTTACGAGCATCTCGGACAACTTTACTTGTTCGTACAGAGGTGTTTCATGTGGCACAGTCGTGCAGCCCTTTGTACCCACCTGGGCTACGCGAGGGAGGGAGAATTAGGAAGATGGGATGTAATTATTGGAGTTGGAATATGGCCAGCTCTTTGGCGCTATCATTAATCTGGAAAGAATTTTAAGCAATCACGATGCGTTTAGACTTTTGTTTTACATCCCGTTGGGGAGACGGAGCCCGTAACGCCCTGTCAGCGTGTGGATGCTCTTCAGGGGTGAAATGGAGTAGACAGGAGTAGAAAGAGCCTGTTCAGAGCTCTTTTTGTTTGTGTTTATTGAGTTAACCTTATTATAGGATGTTCCCGAGGATTTTTTTTATTAACGTGTCACCATAATTATTGTGTAACTAATTTAAATAGAATTAGATTTTCTTTTGCTGATGGTGTAGCCTTAGGCTTAGTAGTTTATAGTATAGCCTCAAGAAAATTACTCTGCTTTGGCTGTTCAAGGGATAAAGAGCTATTGAAGAGCGAGCTTTGACACATCTAGGTATTTCAACCTTCTTCCTGCTACAACGGTGATAATGTTCAAACCCTCCGTTTTTAAAATACGTTGAGATGGTACATCTCGAGCCCCTACATAAGTGTACGCAGCGCTGATGTTAATGTGGAATGACACGCTGTGGCTTGCACCATTTGAGTTAAGTGGGTCTAATGTGATACAAGCTACATTAATGGGTAAATCAGGATATTGCTGTGCGCCAGCATGGATTTCGAGAGGCGTTTAGTCTTGTGACTGCAACTGGGAATCTGGTATGTTCAGTTGCAGTTGAGGAAACGTGACTTTTCTTAAAAAAAAAACAAAACACAAAAGTGATTAAGTCTGTCTAGATGCATAAAGGCAAATTCTGTTCTGTGCTACCAAATTCGTCCCTGGGCTATACCAGTGGAAAGCTGGTGAGCCTTTAATGAAGTAAACGATATTTACACTGGTAGTCCTGGGAACTGAACTTGTCCAATAAAACTTGGAAATTTGAACACCACCTATGTGAAGTCCACATGCGCTAGTTGCTAGGCTACTGTTACACAGTTGTCAAACAATTTCGCTTTTTTCTTGCTCATTTAACTATAAAGACTGTCTAGCAGAAAATCCTTTTAAGTAAATTATTGAATTTATAGTGTTTCGCTGTATGTATTAATGGACTTTTTTTTTTTTCCTCTTTCAGAGCATTCAGTCAGAAAAGAGCTGCAATTGAGAAAGAATATGCACAGGTAGGTTCTGGAATAATTTTAATGTCTATGGCGTTGTTCTCAAGGTAATTTATTCATTAGCATATTTTCCGCAGTGTATGCTTTTTCATTTATCCTTTGTATAAGTTGCTTAGTATGAAAGTACCTGTTGAAATTCTGAATCAGGCAGTTCGGCCTGTGCAGGACCGAGGCTCGTTCTGTGTTTTCATGGACATTCTGACTTGAGGAAGTTCTTGGGTATAGAAGGCATTTTTACCGTTTTTTTTATTTTTTTTTTATTTTTTCAAATGGCTATAAAGTCAATCAACTCTCTAAGGTTTTCTCAGAAGTTAGTATGAAACTTGAGTACAAAGTAAAATCAGGTCAATTAGAGGGAGAGGAAATGTGTTCTGGCATACCCAGTCCAAAATAAATTTACATTCGCATTCTTCAGTAAGAGCAGCTTCCCATTCATCTGAAATAAAAGCAACCAGATTTGGCCTCATGCTTGATAGGGAGTGGAATGAATTTTGATTTGTTTTTGAGAAAGGAGGGACGATTGATTTTTATTATTTTTTTTTTTTTTCCCCTCCCTTGTTCCAAAATTAGAAAGCATCTAATAAGGGGCAGCTGCCTGCTTAATTTACAGCAAAGGCTCTTGGAGCTTAAGTCCAAGTACAACAGATTAAAAATACATTAATTTATTTTAAAATAGATTAGAAGTAGAATAAAAATACAAGTGGGAGAGCTTGTGGAGCTCTATATACAATAAATACAACTGGAGATGTGCCTGACATTACAGTTGTTGATGTTGGGGCAGTGACAGAAATGAAAAGTGAAAACACAAGCTGTCGCTAGGATGTTTCCAAACGCAGTTTGTCGGCTGTTGCGTTAAGCATCCTTTTAGTCATCAGTGCTGCGTCGCCCGCAAGTATGTACAGAACAAATGTTTTCTGTGGGCCAGGCTTTACCCTCAGTATATGAAAGAGGATTTCTGTATGCATTTGCTAGTCCTAGATTTTCTGCGTGTGGTCTCAGCCCAAAACTCAGCTGAAAACCGTAAATCAAATGAAATTTGTACTGAATTTAATCCAAACGCTCACAATGATGCTATAAGGGTAGGCAGTTACTGGCACTCCAATTCTTTCACTGTACGTGAATTTACATTAGCATACATAGATTACATCAGCAGTTGCACTTAATTTGATTAAATATAGCAACTTTTCAATGACAGAATTAATATATGCATAATGAAACTCTGATTAAAGGTATGTATTCTTCAGTGATTTTTTGCAATGACGTTGTAGAGAATTTAAAATCAATTCTTAATACAGTTATCCATTCTACACTGGGACTGTTTTTTATATGCAGAGGCACTTAGAGCAGTTGCTGCATTTAGGGAATAGTCTTGATGGGTTGGAAAAATAATTACGTTCTCAGATTCGGAAGGCTCAGTCTTAACAACTGAGGCTTTCAGATACTTGCATTTAAAAAAAAAAAAAACCACCCCAGCTTTCCAGCAATCCAGCTGCATCATTTGAGGTTCCTTGAATGGCTGCTTATATGAATGAAGTCTTGTGGGATCGCTTCCTTGCTCTGCTGATAAGTGTACAGTTCAGGAACAACGCTGGATGGTTCTTCTTGGGCCTGTAAAAGGATTTCTGTTTTTGAGATGGTAATAAAATTTCACATAAAGCCTTTTGGTGAGAGAAATTGTAATCAAAATAAATGTGAAGTCGTATTCATCAACAGCGGGAGATTCCTTTTAAACCAGTTGTAAAGGGAACTGGAAATTCTCAGTAGTTAGTTTCTGAAGCAAGATTTCTAAATCTTTTCACAGATTCTGTCCAAATGCCTTTTGTCACTTTAGGGAACTTGGAATATTCTAATTTATGACTTTTTTGGCAAGCTAAAAAAAAAAAAAAAAAGTGGAAGGGTGGACAGTGAAAATAAGTTTCCCAGAACTGAATGCTTTGTTGGTTTAAAAAACTTGTATGCTGATGTACTGCACTTGGGCGCCAAGCTTCTATGCACAGAGTGCTTTTGTTTGGAGAAGAACCTGTACAAATGCTTGTGAAACACCATGGATCAGCGTTTATAATTTATCCCTAATTGCATGATAAGTGGCGTGAATGTATGTGATGAATTACAGGATCTGTATGTAAATTGCCCTATGTCTTATTTTATCAAAGGGGGTTTTTTACTGTCTTTTTGCTGTATTGTACCTGTTGCCATCGAAGGTTTTTTTTGAGCTGTTTTTCAGTTGTTGTCGGCCTCCAGTGGGTTCTTTACCGGCTTTTCCAGGCTGTGCTGTGGTATAAATGGGAAAAGTAGCTGATGCATCAGCCCTAGTACTGCAGTTCTGCAGTTCTTTCCAGATCTGTTGTGAATATGCACTAAGCTATTTCACTTGCATTTTCAGTACTGCATTATTTAATATACGCTTAAAGGCTTACCGTAATATTCAGATTTGAGAGTATAGAAAGGCTCTCATTTCCCATTAACAGTATTCCTAGTAATAGCATTTAAATTACAATGTTGTAGTTGTATTGTTAATGTTAGCTATTCTCCTTGATTAATAAGCTAGCTGAAAGCAGTGGCTAAGAATACTCTTTTGTTACTTGGAAATCGAACTTGGTAAACGTGTGTTTTTGCTGCTACCGAGTAAAAAAACTGTTTTACCTATCATGTTAAATAGGTAAATTTTTTTTTAATATATTTTTTTAAGATCATAATTACATCTCTGCTGTACTTTTTAATATTATTTAACGGTTTTAACTCAACAGCAGTCTCTCACTGGCTGCGTTGCGTGCTGGGAACGCACAGATGACCTTCCTTGTTGTGTTTTGTCGTGCTTTGGTTTTGCTCGATATTTAGCTATCCTTGTTTCAGAGTAAAACGTGACTCTCGGCAATCAACTTGCAAGTAACCACAAAGAGCTTGAGCTGTGGAACGTGCTTCTCATTTCAGGGCATGCTAATTAGCTGCTAACTGTAGTACCTCGACTGAAGGCATTGATAATGTAGAAAAAAGGTAGGAAAGTCTATTCTGTCAGCGACGCGAGACCTTTAAATGTGAACTGAGGTGCAAGTAGAAGTTTCTGTTCAGTTTTTTTTTTTTAAAAAAAAGGCACTAACCGTTACAATTTTTGTTCCTGTCTGTTTTTTTTCTGGAGGTCAAATTAACATTGATGAGATGCTCAGTAAAAACAGCTATCTTGCCTGTGATCTGGAGAGAGTGGACAGGTCGCTCGGTGTTGATTGCTCTGTCGCTGTGGGGAAACTTGATACGTTTAAAACATTTTAAAATATGGAGAAACTGAAAGGTGGTATAGTTTATATCCACGCGTTCCTATTGGCAGCTCCGAGCGAAGTGCAAGTGTGTCCTTCGGTATTGTTTATATCAATGACAATAATCAGGAGAGGAACCTTCAACTAAGCTGAAATGAATGCCAAAGCGAAAGGCGGGCTGTAGAGCAGCTGCCGGAGGGAGAGAAGGCGGAGGGGAGAGAGGGAAGGTGGATGTGAGCAGGTAGTATGATTGCCTTTACCACCTTCTCCTCACCCCATGAAGGTCTGGCTAGACTTGAAAAAACACTTCTTACGAGACACCGGAATGTGAATACCTGTGTTCTAGAAAAGTGATGAAAATACGCAATATTCCAATAGCAATTGTTATCTATATATAATGGGTGTGCGTATATACATTATTTTAGGTGTGCTTTATATATAAATGTAATGTATAATTTATTTTGTATATCTGAATAATATTTATGGGCTGCAGTACCCAAGTAGTTGCTTGATTATTTTTTTTTCCTTAGTATATTTTTTTTCCTTACTGTACTGTTTTCCATTGTTTAAAATCAGAAGATAGAAGCTGACCATTTTTTTTACCATCTCCTGACAAGGATGTTGGGCTGCTTTACTTAAGATATAGCAGCCTTTTTAACAAGTTGTCAGTGGATTAAAATTCTAAAGGTTAAAATCAGAAATTTCTCCCCATGTCTTACTAACTTGGGCTGTGGCTAATTTTTTTTTCTTTGCCGTTCTTTACCACGTAGTCCAATGCTTTGCAAACATTAACAGATTGATCCTTGTACTGTGAAGCCTGGAAAGGTGATAGTATTTCCCTAATAAGGAATTAGAGAAATTGAGTGAATTTGAGCCATCATAATACAGGTTGTTTTGATAGAATGGGAACTACATCCCTGGTCTTTTGAATATTTATTTTTTTTTTTAAATGGAAGCCTTTGGCAGTTATGCAACTTTTCCTTCAGCAATAGAATTCCATTTGCCTTCTAAAATGCTTTGAGGTTTATAGAGGAGGAGCTCTGAGGAAGTGTTTATTTGTAAAGTACCTGTGCTGGCGTATTCGGAAGAGGTAAGGTGTACTTTAGTAGATCAGAGACAACTTCCTTCAAAATCAGATTCTCCACTTGTAGTAAAAGTAGGATCTTTCAAGAAAGAAAAGTAAGGTGCTAGGTAAAGCACTTCTCTTTTGAAAAATATATTGCCGTATTGCAATGTTGCAGTATTAACTGTGAGGGCAGGAGGATGGCAGACCCTACGCAGGAACAGCAGCGTCTGTGCGGCGTGGGGAAGGCGCTCGAGAGCTCTGTCAGTGCAACCATTTCGGCACTCAACGCAACTCCCCCGCCTTGATTCAGAAACCCCACGTGGCAAAACAACTGCAGCTTGGCAAACACAACCTTACGCCAGGTTTGGAATAAAACAAAAATTCAGGCTGAAATGAAGTCTTCCCTCTGACTCAGCAGCAGCCATCCCCTGCGGCGTCCGTAAAATAAACTCAAGGTACCTGCCTTGAAAATCCAACAGGCAACTTTCTATTAGTTCATTCCCTGGAGTCTGGACAGAATGGTTGTGGGGTTTTTTTTTTCAGCCCAAAGGATACAGAAGGTTACTGTGGCCTTACGGAGAGCAGGAAGAGATTGTAGACTTTAAGGGTGGGTCCCCGATTTGGGGACAAACAAGAAGCAGCCGTAGGTTGGCTGGTCAGTAGCCTGGTTTGTTCACCGATGAACT